GACAACAAATAAAAGCCAAAAAAGGTTTCCGTTAACCTTCAAAGCACACCGACATTTTTTATTTTATATTTTATTATTATCTATATTTACTGGTTTAAATGACAAAAAATAGAATTCTTTAAAGTTTCAAAGCACAGTTAAATGTTCAGTTTCCATTTGCTAGAAGTGAATAATAGGATTAAATCCCTCCATTGGTTGATGAAGGGGCGTGGCTTGTTTTCCAGATCATCCCATCAAAGTAAAGCTTTCTGTTTTCCCACCAGGAGTAAAATCAACGAGCTGACCACAGAGACCAGCCGTCTCCACAAAGAGATAGAACACTACAACCAGGAGAACTCCGTCTACCTCTCCTATGAGAAAAGGTGAGAGCCTGATTGATTGACTGCTACAGAATGAGATCAGTGATGTTCACCCTCAGCTGTTTGCTTTGTGCTACAGAGCTGAAGCCCTGGCTGCTGAGATCAAGGACCTTCAGGGACAGCTTGCAGACTACAACATGGTAAACATCCCAAAAAAGTTCAAAATCAATCCACTGGACTTTGAAGATGTTTTTATCTTCCCATCCAGGAAACTTGTTCGGTTGAAAATGATTAGTGTTGGGTTCCAGGCTTGGTAGAGTGGAACTAAACAAAGCTTTGTAATGCCTTAGAAAACACCCGATACTGGTCTATGCCTCGGAAAGGCGAGTCGTTAAGGTTACTGTTGGCCTGGCTGACCAGGTGAGATGTTTTGGTCCCTGTTGGCGATGAGGATGGAGATGATAGCGGGAAGGAATCAACTCTATCGCTGCAGCATAGGTTTCTGAAAGCTGAAATCTGAGCCTGGAGGTTTGGTCTTTAGGAGGAACTGTTCTCTGTTGAAGGGTCTGTTGGTTTGAAATGTTCTGGGATTTTATGTTTGAGTTTTTCAGAGACTCCAGGAACATATGGGATGTTTAATCTTCTCACCGTTATGTTCTTTTGGATTTCCTTCCTGATTTGAGCAACATGATAAACAAGAGGCATCAGTCTTCTGAACATCAGAGGAGCTTTTTAATTCATGTTTGGCTCATTTTGCAGCTGGTGGACAAGCTGAACACCAACACGGAGGTGGAGGAAATGATCAAAGACTACAACACGGTAAACCTGAGCTGGAGATGATCTAAAACCAGCCACAAGATGCATCAGATATTCTCACAGTTTTCCCTTTGGTTTGGTCTTTTCTCAGCTCAAGGCGCAGAACGACGCCGAGGCACGAAGGATTGACAGCATCTTCACCGAGAGGAGAGCGTAAGGCTGTTGATCTGACTTCCAGATTCCAGGATTCTACTTTCTGAATTATTATTAATTATTATTATTATATAACAAAAGTTGTAAACATGACAAACCCAGAGGACTAAAAAATCCAGTTGAAACTCTTTCAAAGGTTAAAAAAGAAAGTGTTTCTCTCACTCCCATCTGTGTCAGTCTGGCTTTTTAACTTTTCTTTTTCAGTGTGAGTAGAATGAAAAAGATGCAAGATGTTTAGTTTTAATACATTTAAAAATATATAATTTCACACAGACGTTTCTAATTTGTACATGCAGCAATGCATTCTGGGTATAGGATGTATGCTAGGTCCTGTAGCACTAGCTCCATTCAGCTAAAACCGCAATGAGCTAGCTAACCAAGCTGGCCACGTGTTCTGACTTTACCAGAAAAATGACAAATCGCCCTAATTTTCACCCAGAAACTTTGCTCAAATCTTCAAATTCCACCAGCAGCTGCTGCTGGAGTTAGAAAAATCTAACTTTAGCTGCTGGACATCAAACAACGAGAGAAGCTGATCTGGGAGCTGGCAGGGAGTCAGACACAGCACTGAGGACACAGAGCGCTATGATCACTCCTCTGAAACAGTTTATTAACGCCTAAATTAACTTCAAATGTAGAAACCTGCCGGCAGAATATGTTGGCTTTTATTATCCTG